GAAAAACTTTTGGAATATGAAAAAAAAAAAGTATGCCAAAAACTTTAGAGAAGGTGTTTGTTTTATTCAAAAAAAAAAAAAGTTGTTTTAAATGTTTAATGTTGTTTTAAATGTTTGTTAAAAATAGAAACACAGTCCACTTTCCACACACCCGCAGAAGTAACACAGGTGCAAATTGGGGTGGCAAAGTAAAACTTTTTTGTTGTCAGGGTATTAACAGCATGTTTCATGAAAATGTGTATCAAATAACCAATAGGTAAATATTTAGCCAATCACACTTTGGTTTCTCAGAGGTCTGCGCTCGAAGGTTTGCTAGAAATACCATTGTGATGGTTTGCTCTAAGCATACCATGTCATAAGGGGGCCTTAGGACTTCTTGCTGCCTTTTGAGGCTCAGTAGTTGTGCTTGCTTTAAGATTCCAGTCAAAGGAAATCCCCACCAGCTGCTTCACTGGTTGATTTCCTTAAAAACCTGCTTCTTGCCTGTAACTTTGAGCTGTAGATCTTCCTATGTTTGTGGGATTGACTGAGAAGTTCTCTGATAGCTCTTTTCCTTCCTGTTCATTCTTCCAGAGGGCTGAGTTACTTCATTGATAAGTTAAATGGATCACTTCTTTAAAAATAAGACAATCCTTTTGTCTTTATCAGTACTCTTCTCTGTAGCTCCTCCATCATCCTTCTTAAAGTGCAGATAATGGAATGGGACTGCTTTAGCAGACATCACACCCCCAGTGCCAAGCAGAGATCCTTCAGACTCTGTGCTCCTTCCTGACACATCCATTTCTGTGTACCCAATATTACAGCAGCTCTTTGGGCCACTGCACCACACGAGGTTAATTTTCTTCCAGCATTACCATCACATAGATTAATTTCTTCAGGATCCTTCTCCTCTCTATTTGCTGCTCCCCAAAAAGGGCAGCTTGCATCTAAAAATGATACAGCATACCTTGTGTGTTTCAGTAGCCATAGAGATTTTGTAAAGAAAAACTATTTTAGAATTCTTGAACCAAAAATTTTGCATTTGGCAATGGGAAGCAATCCATATGTCTTACATTTTGCAACAGTGAATCATGCTTTAAATCCTGAGTAATCCTAGTGAATTAAGTGAAACCTTTTAAAGTGTAAAATATTATACAATGCAATGTCAATATAAACAGGGAACTGTCACAGGCTGCATCTACACCACTCTCAGTCTAAAACAGGAGTGCACTTCTGAAACTGATCTCCTGACTCTCCCCATGCTGAGCTTTGGGACACAGACCAGAGCAGTTTCTGAGCATGAGAACTCCTTTCCCTTTAGGTGAAACCAGCCCAACCAGTGCACTTTGAGAGCTTGTCCAGGGTGCTCCTGTCAGGCAGGACCAGGCTCTGGCTGGACAGCCCCAGGAGGCACCTGGATGCTGATGTTGGTGCAATGCAGACACTTGGTCCTTGCATCCCTGTTTCATCCTGTCCACTGCCCACAGACATGCCTGTGTCTTGTCTGTTTGCTCCTCTGCATGCATCCTCCTCATGAGAGGGACTGGGCTCTCCCTCACCCCTGGGGCTTGTCCTGACAAAGTCCCCACTGGGGACCAAAGACCAGTATTAACAAGAATTCTTCAGGAAGATTAGGCCTTCCCAAGGGTAGACTCCTGGTTCCCACCTCACTATAGCCACTTTGAGAAGTGTGAGCAGAGCTGCTCCTGCTGCTGGCCTCAGAGGGTCAGATAATCCTCACAGGACCAGGGGAGACATCTGACAGCAGTCTCACAACACTCAGGATCCATACACCCCCAGAAACCCTGAGCAGCTAGGGGTGATGATGCATAGTTAACACCTCTCACATCCACAGCACAACCTCCTGCTGAGTCTGGCTTCTCTGCAGAGAACTGATCCTGTTCACTCTCTAGGTGTTTCACTCTCTTGCAGCCAGCTCCTAGGTAGATCTACTTTCTCTTCTAAAACCTTTCATGGGAGGAAAAAAAGGTTTGAAATGATAAACTGTCCCAGACATTAATTCAGCACAGCTGGGGCCATGCAACACTGCATGGATGAGGAAAGACAAGAAAAGAGATCATCACCCCTCTCTTCTTTCTATTCCAGACTGGCAGGAGGCCAAACTGGCTCTAAGAGTAAATTAGAGCAACATAAAAAATCTCTGTTCCATCTGAGGATCCTGAGGGACCCATACTGCTAGCTCAGCCCTTCGTGTCAGCCCACTAAATAGATCGGAGGAGTGTAGATTACATACATCAAAGTTTCTGATTTATTTTACCTTAAGTAATAACAAGTACGTGTTCAACATACTAAATGTCTTCCATATAGTAGATAGGAGTGTTGCTGTAGCTTATGTAGATTTTTGGAAAATCTAATTCCAAATCTGTTCTTATGATCTTATAGAAAGAAGCAAAAACATATTTGGTGTGATGCCTACCTAATACACGGTGTTCCTGAGCAGCAGATGTGCATTGGTTGTACAATGGCATGGGGAAGGAACTATGAATAGTGCATCCCTCTTTGCAACCTCTGCAGCAGAGCAACAGCATCAAAATTCTTATCAGAGGTTATTAGGTTGGATTGAATTCCTGTTAAAGCCTGAGAAATCTAAGTCTTCACATCTCAATGGTGGAATAAAAATGATCACTAGAAGGTGCAGGTATTACAGGCCACATGAATCAATCTATAGAGAGAAATATGATAGAAAAAGGATCAGACCATGCTTCCTTTGCAAAATCAAAAAAGTTATGACAGCTTTATCTTCCAGAAACTTTGAAACAAGGTCTTCCACTTTACCTTTTTATTTCTGATAATATCATTTTACTCAAGAGGTCTACTTGCACAAGTGATCATGATCTTTCAGTCTAATCCAAGTATATCAATGAAGTAATAAGTGAAGAAAAAAAAAACCAAAAAGAGATGGTCTCAATTCCTGAAAATATCTTAGTCAATCAGAATTTCCTTCTAAAATTGAAACTCTTGGTATTAACAAGTGACTAAATGAGAAACCATTTTTTTGGTGCTGTGAAGCAGTTGCTCATGAGTGACTCCATCCGAACATTCATCTGAAGAATATCAAATATTGTAAAGATGCTCACAAAATAGAAGTCAGAGCTTGCTGCTACAGAAGTGCTAAATAGTAATAATAACAATGTGCTAAAAGTCTTTACTTTCCCTCCACAAATAGTTTGGCAGCACACCTCATAATAGGAAAGCTGGGGTTTAACATATTTGTAAGTATGACAGAGCAAGGGGCTACACGTATAGAATATCTACCTACTGCAATGTCAGAATGGAATAGTGCCCCTCTATCCCAGGAGTGTGGGGATATCTATTCAAGTTCAGTTTTCACTATTGTACCTAAAGTTTGCATATGAATTTGTGTAAAAACTTAAATTAGCAGCAGATACTTCTTTTTCAAGTCCATAATAGGAGTAAATAATTAATCTGCATTTCAGGGGCTCTTTTTTTTTTTTTTTTAAGAATTATTTAACTGAAGTAATGTAACAGAAGAAGCAATTATTTACTTTGTTATTATTCACTTTTTCAAGAGAACTTACTTTTATTTAGAAAATGGAAAACATGGCATGAGGGGAAAACATAGAAACAGTTACCAATGCAATACAAGATGATGAAGCACTAGAAAATAACAATAGGTTTCATCTCATAAAATACAAAATATTTTGCCTTATGATCCCATTATCTCCCCAGTAGGCCAACCCTGCTGGCCCTTGACTTTGATTGTTTCAGGTTAGGGTTTCCATTTTAATGAGGGTAAGAAAGCTCAGCTCTGGCTCCCTTCATTTGGAGCTGCAGGGCTGTGGCACTGCTGCTGATCACCATCGCAGCGACACGAGTCATGAAGCTGAAAAACAAGGCTCTTAAAAAAACAGTGATTTCTTTATATATGGTTACTTTGGGGTCTTCTCTTACACCAAGGCCAAAATTATTGCAATGGCCAGAGTAGTGATTCACTCTTCTATCCTTTACCGTCACTTTATAGTTGGGGATTTTTTTTTTTCATTTTACCTGGAAAAAACCCAAGTCTTTATCATGGGTCTGTGCAGCTCCTCTTAGCCAAGCACAGCCTGAAAAAAGTGCCTTCCTTGATAACCTTCACTTGAAGTTCTCGGCAAGGATTACGTCAATATTAACCCCATCCCCCGGGGGTGGCTGCCTGGCTTCCCAGCCACAGCTGCAGGACACCAGGGCTCCGGGCCGGCCACAGCATCGGCTGGGAAAGTGAAGGGCAGGCGATGCAGCCCCCGGCTTGTCCTGCTCCCTGCAGGACTGACTGAAACTCCACCAGACACAGGCAGCAGCGGCTGTGCCCAGTCAGAAAAGAGGAAAAGTCATTTCCTTGTATCCGTATGGCGTTGCAATTTAATTTCCTCGCCATCACAATGCTTTCAGTGGCCCACCAAGCTTTCCTTGCCCGTCTCCCTGCCCGCTCAGCAGAGCATGTGGCCAGGCCTGGCCGGGCTGGGCCCGGCTGTCCGAGGGCCTGGCCGGGACAGGGTGCCTGTCCCGGCTGGGGGTTGGAACACTGCGGTAGGTCCATGGCCAGGCAGCGCGGGATGAGCGTGTGCTGCTCCTCAGCAGCGGAAAGCCCAGCACAGGGCTGGGAAGGCTGCCAGGACAGACCTGCAGTGCTGCGGCTCCGGGCATGCCGCTGTCCCGCTGCCCCCTCAGCCCTCCCGGCCGTGCTGAGCCACCTCCTGAGGGAGGGGGACAGGGACGGGACGTGTCGCAGCGGTGACAGCTCTCAGCTTCCTTGCTGGGCCACCGCGCCTTGGAAGCTCTGCGAGTCTTGACTAAGGACCATTTCTGATGAGTTTACCTCATTGTAAGCCCGCGGCACTTTAAAAACAAGCAAGCAAACAAAAAAGCGCAGGAGCTAAAATTTTTGGCCCATCTCGCTATGAATCTGGAGGGTGTTTTTTGTTTGTTTACATTGCCGAGTAATAAAAACGCAATGTAGGTTTTGCATTTGGAGAAAAATAAGGCGAATGGGAGCTTACTTGGAAAGGGAGACACGTGTCTGCCTGTCTGTCTGAGCGCAGATGGCCTTGCACTGCAGTCTCGAGGCTCTGCATACGAAAATGAATCACATCAGCCTGCAACATTTCTCAGTGTTTCGAGAGTTCTGCTTTCAACACAGATATGAATGTATGTAGCAATGATCTTCATTGTCCTGACTTGGGTGATGTCATATTTTTCCATTAGGATACTGGGTGACAGCACATTTGCAGGCTTTGGGCTAAATGTATAACGAGCATGAAATTCCCTTTAATGTCAAAATAAAACCAAAGGAGAAAAAAGAGTGGAAAGGTCGTATGGAAAAAACCTCCAATAATAAATATGACTTTTGGGGCCGCCTGAGTCTGGCTGTCACCGTGATGAGCCCACCGAGGCAGACACCCCGGCAACATCCCAATAATCTTATTATTTGCATGACATTAGCCATGAGGCGGGGGGATGGGGAGAGGGGTGGGGGAGGGGAAGGGGGAAGAAAGCCGCCAAAAGCATCCAGGCGGCTCCGGGCGAGCGGGCGGGCCCCTGGCGGTGGTGCCGGGGTGCGGTGGCGGCCGTGCCGGGCGGGGGCTGGGCCGGGCGGATGGCGGTGCGCAGCTACTCGCGGCGGTGCGGTAGCGGCAGCGGCGCGGAGCCCTGCGGAGCGCGGTAATGATGTCAGCTTGTTATTTACCTTCCAGCGCCGGGTGACGGCGCAGCGCGAAAGGAGAATCAATCAGCCGCCGGGTGACCCGCCAGGCGCAAAAAACCGGAGCCGAGCGGGGGAGGGGAAGCACATGGAGCCGCGTTGCATCATCCGCCCGGGTGGGGGGGGACACGGGCGGGACGCGGGGACACGCGTGGGACGGGCGCGCTGGAGGCTAAAGAGTCGCGGCGCTGCCGCCCGTGGGTGTCGCGCCCCAGCGAGATGCGATAAAGCCCGTTTGTGCTGATTCACAGCCCGCCCGGCCCCCGCGCCCCGGGGCGCTGACTGGGCACCGCCGCCCGCCCCGGACCGGGGCAGCGGTGGCGGCGCGGGGCGCGCTCCCGCAGCGCCGCCCGGACAGTCCGTCCGCGCCGCTGCGCGGGACGAGCGGCCGCGTCCCGGGCGCCGGAGCGCGCCCCGCGGGGCCCTGCGCGGGCCGCTTGAGTTTGGCCGGACCGGCCGCGGGGCCGAGCGCGCGGGGCACGGAGGGCGGCCGCGGGCACCGCGCGCCGGGCCGGCACCGGGGAACGCGGCGCTGCCCGGCGGGCGGGGGAGGGGAGGGCCGCCCTCCGTGTGTGCGTGCCTGGTTTGTCACCGGGTTTCAGTTGCGGGGGGGGTGTCAAAGCACAACATAACCACAGGCGGGGCGAGGGCTGGCGGCACCCCGGGGCATCCCCGGGGGCGTTGGCGGCGGCGCCTCCTCGAGCTGCGCGTCCCGGCGTGCGGGACCGAGGCAGGTGGGGGAGGGCGCGGCCGGTTCGCCCCCCAGCCGCCCCGGCCCTCCCGGTGCGCCCCCTCCCCCGCCGTCCCCTCCCTCGCTCCCGCCCGGTGGCCGCGGCCCCGGGCGCGGCTGAGGCTCCCCCTCGGCGCTGCTCCCGCCGCCGCCGCGCGTCCGCACCGGCCCCGTCAGCCCCCCCTCACCGCCATTCCGCCCCAAAACTTTCCGTTTCCCCCATCCCACTCTCCGGGACTTCCTTGTGCCGCCCGTGCGCGCGGAGGGGGGGGAGGAGGCGTGTGCGGCGGCGGCGAGGGGGGATTCGCAGCCTCCTGGCAGGCTGGCCGGGACCCCGGGGGAAGAGGAGTTGCACCATGCGCGGCAAGTGAGGGAAAGTCTCCGCCAGCAGCAGCGCCGCCGCCCCCCGCAGAAGTTGGGGCTCTCCCCGCCCGCGGGAGCGGGAGCTGTGCCTTTAACGCCCGCTGCGCCGCGAGGTGAGTTCCCGAGGCGGATTATTCATCCCGGGGACCCTGTTGTGGTTTCTTTTTTCCCCCGTCTTTTTTATTATTATTATTATTATTATTATTTCTTTTTTTTAATTTCCCCCTTTTCTTACGCTTGTCCTTCCCGGCGCAGCCCCCCGAGCCCAGCCCAGCCCGGGGCCCTCTGCCCCCCGGCGTCCCCTCTGCAGCCTGACCCGCCCGGGGGGGAGGGGGTCGCTCAACTGCCGCTTGCTATGACGAAGTTTTCTCAGCCCGGACGTTTTGGGTTCTGTTTGGGGGTTTTGGGGGTGTTTTCTCAGGGCCGAGGTGATGTGTGTGTGTGGGGGGCTGCCGTACCCGTGGCGGGTGTTTTGCAGCTGCCCCCGGGCAGAGCGACCCCGGGGCGTGGGGGAGGGGAGGGGGGCAGTTTCTCCCTACTTCTGAGACAGTATTTTAATGTATGGGGGGGGTTATTAAAAAAAAATAATAACTGCTCGGGGAGGGGGGGAGAGAAATGCGAGGTATTCACGCTCCAGTGTGGAGTTTGCAGAGCCTGGGTGGGGGAGGGGATCCCATTCATCGCCAGGGCTTGAATCAGCAGCGGGCGGAGGGGCCGGTCGCTCCCCTACACCGAAGTTTACTTCCAAGTAGGTAAACAAGTTCGCTGCTCGCCCCCCGCCCCGGGCCCAGCCCCCCGAGCCGCGCTGCCCCCGGCCTCGCTGCCAGCGCCGCGGCGGCCGGCGGGGCCGGGGTGCGGGGAGCCCCTCGGGGCCGGAGCTGCGGGGCCGCCGACCTGTTGCACGTCCCGGGCCGGCGAGCCCAGCCCCGGGGCGGCGGGGCGGGCGGGCGCCCTGCCCCCGGCGCTGTCACCGGGCCGGGCACGGTCCCCATTTTGCGGTGCGCGTTGAGTCTCGGCGGTGGGGCTGAGGTGGGCTCGGTGCGCGGCTGAATGTCGGTGTGGTGTGATGTAAAGCGAATGACCCTTGACCTATTTAGTGGTGTGTTGCTGGGTTCTCGGGCAGGCATCCTGCACGGCGCAACGAGGGGCAAAAACACCAAGCCACACCCTAAAAGTTCGGCTCGCATATTAATTCCTCAAAGTCGGCGTTTAGACGGAATAAAGGCTGCCCTTTATGTGTTGCCTTAACATGCCTCTGTGCTGTTCTCCACGAGGATTCGTACGGCGTTTCTCCCTCCCTGACGCACGAGCCTGGCAGTGTGGATGTGGATGTGTGCGGTGGGGGAGGGGAGGCGGGCTGCTCGGCGGGGCTCACCCACCACCTCCTCCAAAAAAAGAAAATATTGCAGCATAATCTTGCAGAAACCGAAAATATTCCATTGCAAAGACTGATGATTTGAAATAAAATGGAGTGTAAAATTAAAATTTCAGGATTAGTGTTCTAGGCTAATAGCATGAAAATAAATGTGTTGTGCCAGAGGGAGATCTGATTGTAGGTGATAAATACAAGGTCTTTACTCTTGACAAATAAAATGTCATATCTTTCTTACCCCATTTATTTGTGGTCTTTTAACCAAGACTACTTGTGTGGATGTGTAAGGTTTAACATCATCTACCTTGTGCACCATGTGACTGCACATACTGGGTTTAGGCCTCTCCCTGTCCTCCAGTCAGTGTTCTGTCATGTATAGAGACATTGGGCAGGTTTTAAATTAAATATATCCATTCTGTGATAGCAGATGTTGTTGGCAAAGAGAGCCAGATTTGTTCTAGTGTGTGTTTTGGCGTTGTTGTTTTTTTTGTTTGGCTTTTTTTTTAAACAATTACAGATAATAATTGCAACATCTCAACGACAGCAATAGTAAAACAGGGAAGCTTTCCCACAGAAGATTTGTAGAGGACGTGGGAGGAAAAAGGAAAGCAAGAGGGGGAGGATGCTATCACATTAAAAATGCGTTAAAGCTCTCTTGTGCTATATGTAATAATGGTAAAAACAGGGCAGATTTGAGCCGAGCTGCTGTAGTTGTCTCAGTGTTTAACACCTTCAGTGAGCTATGCAATAACCAGGGGTAGGGCAACCCTGCATGTACAGACTGAGGAAGGAGAGACTGGAAAGCAGTGCCAGGAAAGGGACCTGGGGCTCCTGGTTGATGGCAGGTTGACCATGAGTCAGCAGTGCCCTGGCAGCCAGGGGGGCCAACCCTGTCCTGGGGGCATCAGGCACAGCATGGTCAGCTGGGCAAGGGAGGGGATTGTCCTGCTCTGCTCTGCACTGGGGCAGCCTCACCTCGAGTGCTGGGGGCAGTTTTGGGGGCTGCAATATACAAAAGACGTTCAGCTGTCAGAGAGTCTCCGAAGGAGGGCCATGGAGGTGTGAATAGCCTTGAGAGAAAGCCCTATGAATGAGGAGTGGCTGAAGTCCCTTGGCTTGTTCATTTTTAAGGAGACTGAGTGGAGACCTTATTGCAGTCAGTCTACAGCTTCCTCACGAAGGGAAGCAGCAGGGCAGACACTGTTCTCTGTGGTGACCAGTGACTGGACCCGAGGAAATGGCCTGCAGCAGTGTGTGGGCAAGTTTAGGTTGGATGTTAAGAAAAGACTCTCCACTCAGAGGGTGGTTGGGCACTGGAACAGGCTCCCCAGGGAAGAGATCACAGCAGCAAGCCTGATGGGGCTCAAGAAGCATTTGGACAATGCTCTTGGGCACATGGTGTAATTCTTGGGATGTCCTGTGCAGTGACAGGACTTGAACTTGATGATCCTTGTGGGCCCCTTCCAACTCAGTATATTCTATGATTTTAAGGTTGTTTTTTTCACCCCCTGAGATGAAAAAGTGTCTCTCAGAAGCAAAGAGGATTAAAAATTACACGTACGTGTGAAGACTGGCAACTACACAACTGTCCAGGTTTCTTAGGACATAAAAAAGCCCTCGGGAGATAAGTTGGCATCTGAATACATCTTCCCCCACCCAACTGAGTAAGATGACTCCACTGTTCTCTGCTATGTCACTGCTGTGAGTTATGCTACTGCTTATCTTATTTTTAAATGATTGCAGATATTCTCCGCAATAAGTATCTAAGGAGCAAAACTAAGTTAAATCATTGCTAGGGAGGGGGCACCTGGAGTTGTCAGGTTCCGCTCCACCAGTTTGCCCAGTTTTCACCAAATCATAGAATATGCTGAGTTAGAAGGGGCCCACCAGGATTGAGTCCAACTCCTGACCCTGTGCAGGACAGCCCCAAGAATCCCACTGTGTTTTGAACTCTTATCAGACTTGGTGATGTGATCTCTTCCCTGGGGAACCTGTTTCAGTGCCCAGCCTCTCTTGGGATGAAAAACCTTTGCCTGATATCTAACCTAAACCTCCCCTGATCCCGTTTCATGCTGTTTTGGTCCTGTCACTGATTGTCAGATGGGCTTTTCTCATTTTTGTGATGACAGGGAGCAGAAGTAGACATGCTGTCTGCTCGGTATGTCTGATGTGCCATGGCTCCTGAAGAGCTTCCTGAACAGAGAGCCGTCCTCTGGCAGCAGCAGCTGTTGAAGGCCTGTCATCCCTTTGCTTGGAAGGAGTAGAGAAGAATGTCTCTCATTGTGGATGGGATCTTATTTCTCAGTAGCTGTGATAAGTCAGCAGTGGATTGAGCGGTGTGCTTGGTTTGGTTCATTGTGGAGGTGAGGCTGGAAAAGCCCTCCCAGGTTTAGGTTTAGGTTGCCGGGTGATTGCTGCAGGCAGTGGGGTCGGTGCGCGCTTCAGTGCTGCCAGCCCTTGCTCTTTGCTGCTGCTACGAGTCCAGAGTTAGAATTCATCTTGTGTTAAACTGATGCTGTTTGTATTTTAGTAGTGCCAAGGGGCCCCCATTCAAATCAGGGCCATTTGGGGAATATTATAGACGGTGGTTCTCACCCTAAACAG